CGTGCTCATACCTGACCCCACCGGAGGTGCCGGGGTAAGGGGAACAGGACTTGGATTTGGTGAAGATTGGGCAGCAACATCTTCAACTCTTGGCTTAGATGTTGGTTTCGCCTTTAGCCTCCATACTTGCTTGAGTTTTGGCGGAGTCTTGACCGCCTCTTCTTTCTGCATCTCCTCTGCTTTCTGCAAGAGAGCTCGGGCATGCGCGAGCAGTGCGCGGCGCTTCTTGATTCTCTCTTCGAGGGTGGAACGAGTCCTCGTGACACGAACCCACTTGTTCGTTTCTGCCAGAGAGGAGGAGTTGGTTACATACCGTTGTTGCCCCAGGCGCTGTCTCAATTTGAGGTCTTCGTTGTAGCGGACCCCGTCCATAGGCTCCAAAGCCTTGGCCATTTGACGAGCAAAGCGTTGATGCCGCCTTTGGAGCGTCCTCTTTGATACAGCTGGAGCGCCTTCAGTAGCCACCCACTTGTTCGTTTTTGTCAGGGAGGAGGAGTTGGTTACGTACCGTTGTTGCTCCATGCGCTGTCTCGATTTGAGATCTTCGTTGTAGCGAACCCCGTCCATAGGCTCCAAAGCCTTGGCCTTTTGACGAGCAAGTTGTTGACGCCGTCTTTGGCGAGTCCTCTTTGATACTGCTGGAGCGCCTTCATTAGCCATCTTCTTGGCGGAGGAGATGCCCAGATCTGCGATCTCGACCACGTTGGGCGACGCGGAGACGCCACGTGGTGCGAGTGCAGCGACGGTAAGGGGTTCTTGGGTCTTTGAGCTAAGGGTCCCGCGAACGACTCTGGAGGAGGAGGATTTCCTGCGCCTGCTTGGAGAGGCGGATCTGGAGGAGGAGGAAGAGAGATACTCTTCGAATTTTTGCTGGTCGAACTCGTACTCGACCTCTTCGTTCACCCGGATCTTTAGGGCCGGTTGCGTCACGACGGCGTCGGTTGTCATCTCTTGCTTGTGTGGGTCTTTGGCCTGTGACGGGGACGTTGATATCCGTGGACCACCGGGCACTCAAATCTGCTCCGAGAAAATCGGGCAGAGCTTCGTCGATCCGCGTGAGATCTAGAAGCTTAAAGCGTCAATCTCGGCTAAAGCGAGATATTAGCTCTTCTTAGTATTAACGCCAAGGGCTAATACTAAGGATCGGACGGGTGATGAAGGCTCTGATGTGGACCTCTCCTCTCCTTGTTGAAGCGCACGAACACTCTTCACTGCAGCAGGGCTTCGCCAAGGGTCTCCAAAAATCCTCCTCTCAAAACAAAGGCCCAAGGGGGCTATTTATAGGTGTATGGAGGGGTCTAGGGGGCCTAGACACCCCCTGGTGTCTCGGCCTTGGCCGAGACACCCCTGGGGTGTCTAGGCTTTTCCTAGACACCCCCGGGGTGTTTCGACCTCCCGAGACTCCGTTTGAGGTGATTCGGTTGTTTTCCCTGTAGATTCTTCGTCCGAACTCGGATTTGAGTGATTCCGGGTGCGTTGGATGCTTGACGAACAGTTCGATCCGCTCTGGTGATTGGATTATCTGTAGAGTGGTCGAGGCACGAAGGGCGTTGTCCTTTTTGTGAACAGCGTCGGGTTCCCGATTGGTCCAGGTCTTCGTTGTTCTGAAATCCTATAAGCTCACGTAGCTCGTCGATTCGCTTCAGTCGTTCGTCGACGTCAATTGGGTTCCTGTGGCTTGGATAGTGACGTTCATCGTCGCTCTTTAACACTGAACCGTTCGTGGAGACCTATAGGCAATTTTCAATGCCTACAAAGCTAGCTTGATTTCATCTCTTGTGACTGGAGTACTCAGATTATTATTTTGAGTAAATGAAAGAACAGGACCATTTGCTATCACCCTTTGGTCTATCTGCAAAGTTTGCCCAGTAGAGCCCAGGAGATTTGTGTAGTAACTAATAAATTCAGATGTGATATCTGAAAAATCAGTTAGTCTCTCACCACCAGGAGATTTGTGTAGTAACTAATAAATTCAGATGTGATATCTGAAAAATCAGTTAGTCTCTCACCATTGTCATTATATAATGATAGCACCTTATTTTTCAGATGTGATATCTGAAAAATCAGTTAGTCTCTCACCATTGTCATTATATAATGATAGCACCTTATTTAGATTTCTTCTGGCTTTTATAATAGAGTGAAATAAATGAGAGCATTTATCCCCATATTATCCCTATTTGATGCTAGCTTTTTGTCTGAAGAAGGAGGTTTCAAAATCAACCAGTCTCATATAACTGCTCAAGCATTCCTTCTCTTTTGATATTAGATCAGAGTTGAAAGGATCACCATTTAGCTGTAGTTGAATATCAGAGAGATCACATTTTTTCCTCAATACCTGCTCACTAATATTAATTTAGTGTTTTTTGTTCAAATCTTTCAGAGCATGTTTAAGTTTTTTCAATTTTGTATGTAGCCTGTACATGTAGAAACCCCTGCAGTTCTGCTCCCATACAGACTTAACAACTTTGTTAAAATCTGGATATTTAGTCCACATACTGAAGAATTTAAAAGGCTTCTTACCTTCACAGATGTCATCATTTACTGTAATCAAGGCTGGAGAATGATCAGAGAAGTTTGGCACAAGAAAATCAACTTGACTTGAGGTATATTAATTAATCCACTCCTCATTAACCAAGATTCTATCCAATTTACTCCAAATTCTTAAAGTAGCATCCTGTTTGTTACACCAAGTGAAGAAGCATCATGTAGTTTTCAGATGAAGTAGTTGGCATGAAGTGATGAAGCTATTAAAATCCTCAGTCTCAGAATCTGTGACAGGAGAACCCCTTATTTCTCTTCATTACTGGTGATGGTATTAAAATCTCCACCCACAAACCAAGGAGAATTCACACTTTGTTTGAAACTTAACAAGTCATGCCAGAGATTTTTCCTACCTTCTTGATCATTAAGAGCAAAGACTACAGTAGCAATGCATGAAAATTTTCCATCTTTAGAAATCACAGAGCATGATACATACTGGTCTGAGGAAGAAATACACTGGACTAATAGGATATTGCTGTCCCAGAGAATCCATATTCTACAATTCCTTGCTTGCTGAGTATTAGAAATCCAATCCTAATATTTAACCATTTTCTTTGCTATAGTATTCATTTTATCACCAACAACTTTAGTTTCCAGAAGAGCTATAAATGCAAGCTTATAATCATGTACAAATTGCTTCACTAACATATGTTTAAAGATTTTATTTAAACCTCTAATATTCCAGATTGTCAGTTGCATTTATTGAGAGGATCCTCCCCTATCAATGCTTGAGGGAGCAAATTCATTACTATGATCCAGTAAAGAGAATAGTGAAGCTTGAATATGAGAGGAATGTTTATCCATTGGTGATCTTCTAGCTATAATATTTCTGTTTACACTTGTAAAGCCACTAACATTCACAGAAGGGGATATATTTTGTATTGTAGAATTCATCATGTGACCAGCATTATGGGTAGATTTCCCTTTATCAATATGCAGGCTGCTGGTGCACAACACTGTTTGTGCATGTTTTCTGGACAGATTCCCTCTAGAAACTTGATCAGATAAATCCATCTCTCCTCTAGAAATTTGATCTGATATTTTATTTGTAGATTGTTCAGGTATCTGAACATCCTGAAGAGCATTATGAACAATTCCAAAAACAAGTACATTATCAGCAGACTGTTTTGGAACCCATATTTTCTTCATTGTTAATCTTCTACACTTATCAACTTCATGTCCCACTGTTTTGCAATTTGTACACCATCTTTGTTTTAATTCATAAACCACTTTCTGAATATATTTTTTCCCATCTGGACTTTGAATGATTAATTGATCAGGCAAGGCCTCTTTTAAAGGTAAATCAACTTCAAGCAAGACTCTAGCATATGACAGTCTTTGTCTAATAGCCATGAGTTTATTAGTAGTGATGGGGTTGCTTATGAGGCTAGCAATCTTACTTATACCTGAAGAGCTCCACAAGTTTAGCCTCAAATTAGGGAATTGAACCCACATTGGATAAGTACAGTCCTAGATTTTTTCAACATCAATGTCAATTTTCCAAGGTTTCAAAACTAATGGCCTTGAACCAAAGAACCAAGGACCAGTCTCAAGAACATCATCCATTTGCTGTTTAGTATGAAATTCAAAAAGGAATACTCCTTTCTTGATTAAAGTAGACTTTAGGAATTGAGATTTTCCCCCAAATCTTGTTCACATAGGTTTCCATGGATTTAAATTTTACATTTAATCCAATAACATGACCAATTAGAGAAAATTTCCAAATATCTTTACCTTCTTTCCATTCTGATTCTAAGAAAGATACATAATGACCTTGAGCAGATGAAACAAAATTCAATGACAAACCATTACCTTGCTTTCTATTGTCAGAGAATAAGCTAGCAAAAGTTTTCAATTCTGATCGATTTTCCTTAAAGCTAACATTTCTCACTTGATTTTCAACAGAGGTTTCATTTTCTTCATTTTCCAGATTTATATTGTTTTCTAAAATTTTATCAGATTCAGCCACATCAGAGTTGAAATCCACATTATGATCTATTATCTCATTTAGATCTGAATCAATCGCATCTTCAACTTCAACTGATCATTGGACAGAATTTGGAGATTTACTTAGTTGACGAGGGATCATCATACCAGATTTCAGCTGTGGAGATTGAGGTTCGGACAGAGGTTTAGATCTGACAATAACTTCCTCAATCAGCATATTCTTCCTTGCTCCTTTAGGACCTGTACTTTCCATTTCTTGAGGAAACATAGAATTTACTGTTTCATTGATATCGGCAACATTAGAATAGGAAACTCCAGTAGACGATGAGACTCCAGTATTAGCGTAGGTGAAGATGGAATCTCTCAACTCACTACTTTGAACTCTCTTTGTACTAGATCTCTTCTTCTTCGCCATGAAAATCTAGGCGGAGGAGCACGATAGCAAGAAGATCGCTTGCTATCATGCGCCTAACAGACCATGATAGCAAGCCACCACAAACTTACAATAAGATTCAATCGCAGCCGAGAAGAACCACAAACTCTGATTCCTCACCAAACAATTCCATGCCAGCGATCCCTATCGAGTTGAACACTGACTCGGATGATGTGTTAGTAAGGCCTGAAGGGAGGAAAGCGGCAAAGCTCAACAGGAAACAAAATGTGGAAAACTCTGGATCCGCTACGTCCATCATGGGAGAGGCTTTCGCGTGGATGAAGCAAACCACCAATCAAAAAATAGAGCAAAAACATAAGAAACAAGATGACGATATCATGAAGATGGATCTCTCGTCGCATCGCATCCTTATTAGTTCTTCCTAATTATCAAATATTATCTTGTATTAGATTTATGATTGTACTTGAAGTTGAAAATTTTGGCATTGAATGAAAACAACTACTTTATTGAAAATAAAATTGGCGTAGTACAACAACTTGAACTCCTTTTCTGAAATTACATTAGACATAAAGAACCTTAATCCTCGGCGATGGATCCCTTGAGCTGCCACAGATGCTCGATCAAATCATTTTTTAGTGATTTGTGTGTTTGCGTGTTCCTGATCCGATGATGATTTTGGATGAACTCAGTTAGAGGCACCGTCTGCACATGAGAAGGTTCAACGACTGGTACCGAATCAGTAAAGTCGAAGTTGTTGTCCAATTGACAATCATGTTCATCTTCAACGATCATGTTATGCATTATGATACAAGTTGTCACAATATCTTTCAGCACACAAGGTTGCCAGAAACATCCTGGTCCACGAACAATCGCAAATCGAGCTTGCAACACGCCAAAAGGTCGCTCAACATCTTTTCTTGCGCTTTCTTGTTGTTGAGCAAAGTACTTATGCTTGTTTACTCGAGGTGCTGGAATAGTCTTCACTAATGTGGACCACTCTGGGTAAATCCCGTCAGCGAGATAGTATCCCATATTATACTCGTGGCCATTGACAGTCTAGTTGCACGGTGAAGCTCTTCCCTCCGCAAGTTGTGCGAAAACCGGTGAACGATGTAGAACATTAAGGTCATTGTGAGACCCCGGCAGTCCAAAGAAGGCATGCTATATCCAAAGATCTTTGCTAGCTACGGCCTCCAAAATAATTATAGGTTCATGAAAATATCCAGTATACATACCTTGCCAGGCAGTTGGACAGTTCTTCCATGTCCAGTGCATGCAGTCGATGCTCCCAAGTATACCAGGAAAACCTCGTTGTGAGCCTTCCTCGAGAAGGCGTGCAACGTCTTCATTAGTCGGTGCACGAAGGTATTCCTCTCCAAAGATGTTGATAATCGATCGAACGAACCTCTTCACGCTCTCAAACGACGTACTTTTACCGATCCGAACATAGTCGTCAACGGAGTCAGCGGATGCTCCATATGCGACCATCCGCATAGCTGCAGTAATCTTTTGAAGACTAGATAGTCCTAACTGTCCAGCATCATTCTTCTTTTGGACGAAGTACTTGTCATGTTCAACGACTGCGTCGTGGATTCGAAGGAATAACGAACGCGTCATTCTGAACCTTTGACGAAAATAATAAAGAGGATAGGTTGGTGCGTCAGCAAAATAATCTTGGAACAACCGATTGTGGCCTTCCAGTCGGTTTCGATGGAGCACGATACGTCATTTGTGTTGAATTAAAGTTGAACATTTCTCTTGTTCTTCTTCCTTAACAACAGCAGCTCCCATAAGAAAGAACGTCTTCATCATTTCATCATTACTAGAGCTAGATGAGCTAGACATTTTATTCTGGGAGATGATGGGTTGAGGAGAGAAGCCATCGAATTTTATAGGAATCAGTCGGTTGACGGTCAAAGTTTGCGATACCTCGAACTTCATGCCCAACCTCGAAGACCGCGGGTTACCTCGAAGACCGTGTGCGCTCCCTCGAAAGCCGCGGGTTACCTCGAAGACCGTGTGCGCTCCCTCGAAGACTGTGGGTTGCCTCGAAGACCGTGTGCGCTCCCTCGAAGGCCGTATCCAACGGTTAGAAATAAAAGACAAGAGGTTTAAATATAATTAAAAGTAATGAGTAAAATATTAAAATAGAAGATGGGTTTTTTTGATATTGTTGGAGCTCCTAACTAGGAGCTTGTTGGAGCTCCATAAAAGAAGTGGTGCCTCCCAAGGCTTAATTTGTTAATTTTTTATTCTAAAATGCTTGAGAGCTCTTGAGAGCATGCTGACAATTTGTTAATTTTTTATTCTAAAATGCTTGAGAGCTCTTGAGAGCATGCTGACTAGGACTCCCAACTGGGAGCTTGCTGCACTTGCAATGCTTGAGAGCTCTTGAGAGCATGCTGACTAGGACTCCCAACTGGGAGCTTGCTGCACTTGCTCTTACTACACCAGTTTGGCTCAAAGAACCCCGATGTTTTTATAAGGTACATATTCTTGTTAAATTATCACTTTTAGCCGTGCATATATACCTAAACTTTCCATCCTTTTTTACTTTGTACATCTAATAGGATGTGTAGACAACTAAATCTTTCATGATAAATACTTTTTCGAAAAATAGGTTCACTTACCCTCTCAGTAATTAGGTTGACATTTCTAACTTCTTCATGAAGTGTTAGTGTAGTCGTCCTAACATTATGACACAAGCATGAAGAGTTTTCTTTCATGGAAAAAAGAAAAAAATTTCAAGCTAATTAACTTTGTGCAATGGGAGAATATAATAGTTCAAATATGAGAGATTACTTTTATATACCCCAAAACCTTGGGTTCCATTACCATTGGATGTGATGTTTCTCTTTGTTAGCTTGGTTTGAATCCCAATAAAATGATATATGTCACATTGACTCATAATTTCTTTATTTCTTTTACCTTTTTCTCTGAGGAAAATGACCATAGCCTTTGCTTCTTTCATTTGGGGACTGTTTGTTTGTATAGAAATATATAGGAGTTAACCAAAGTAAAAGAGGTACGTAGATGCTAGTTTTGCTACTTCCCATCAAAACGATTATTTCTTTCTCTAAAAATACTACTTCTGGTACTTCCAAAATGATGACTTGGCGTCTATGTAGCATCTTACGTTTTAATTCTTTTTATGTTCCTCAAACCTTGAAAGTAGCTATAATATGCATTATTTTAAGAATAAAATTATTATTTTATTATGTGGATATTTCTCACTCTAAATAAAATTTCAAAAATATCCCATATCTCTCTTCCTAATGACATTTCCAATTTCCATCCAAATAAAAAAAAAGTAAATAAAAGGGAAGTAGTGTTATTTCCACTACTTTCAAAATCACGTAAAATGAACAAAAAAATTACCACTTCCTCTACTTTCTACTTTATAATTATCGTATAACTTCTTTAATCTACTTCTTATTTATAATACTTCTAGCTATCCAAACGGGTCCTTAATGCAAACGCACACCAACGATGGCGTACGAAAACCAAAATAAATACATTTGATAATTAATGAGGGAGCCAATACCCATATAATTTAGATGATCATGCAACAATGACCATGATAGAATGAGCCACCACATTCAGTGATCTATGAGCCTATGATATCGACACCAACAGATTTTGACAAAGAATACAAATGCATTCATGCACAATATGATAAACTTGTTATGGTGGAGAGAAGGTAGGTGGGAGAATGCAGTTGATGAGAACTTGTGCCTCCCTAAAGACAGTGAGTAGCTAAAAGTCTTTGAAGGGTGTCGGCAATCTTAGAGCTTCAGGAATGCCACGTGCTTTGACTAAATATGGGGATAATGAATCAATTTTTCTAATGAAACATAAGAAACTTTGCCTTCATCTGTTCGCCGGCGCCCAATTAGACCCCATAATGATTTAGTTGTCATGAAGTCCCATCTACATTGATTGTGAGATTTCTACTGGATGTTCTTTCCAACTTGAACATCCAACTTGATTCATGTAGGGATTCCACCCCCCCCCCCCCCCCCCCCCCAACACCCACACCTCTTTTTTTTTTTAACTAGTCGAGATAGTAAGTGGAAGTTGCAAGATGATGACGTTTGCAAGATGACGACATACTCATCAAATCGTTTGATATTGCCAATGCCAGGACATTAATAGGATAAGATGCAAATATGACCTCCTCATCTCGCTTTCCGTAAACACCAATAGATAGTAATGGTTTTAGCACGTGCAGTCTCATCACATTTGGCCCATCGTACAAGGTATCTAGAAGAGTAATTGAACGATGAATAGGTGAAGATCGAGGGTGCAAAATTACAAATCTAATTTGTAATAGTGCAACCAAACAGAAAATGATCCATTATTTCAACATGTTCTTAATTTGCATAATTCGCAAGTCGTGTCGATGACGGTATTGTTGTATAACAACATGTGTTATTGGCAACACATTGAAGAGGGCACACCTTATAAAGCACTTTTATGGGGAATGATTTGATTACGTTACTTTTATGGGGAATAATTTCATTACCATAATCTCCTTAGAAGTGCACACTACAATATAAAAGTTGTAAATTATGATTCATTTTTTGTCTCTACATAACACAGTTTTGTGTCACAAATATGGAGCGCAACACTTATCAAAAGTGTGGTTAGAGCATGTGTGGAGAGTATTTTTCTATACATGTGCGCATGTGTCGCAAAATTCACGACATATATATATGTCGAAAGTGGTGACACATACACGTGTCACAAAACCTTTAACACATATATGTGTCAAGAGTGGTGATACATATTTATATTTACACCATGAAAATATAAAGAGTATAACCATTTAATACTATAACTTCTCAGAAGGTCACCCATCCTAGGATTACTCTTATCAAAGCATGCGTAACAATAAATTTTTTCAGCTTATATACTATCATAAGTATTTAGTCATCATCATAATTAATGTCTAAGATTTATTATTTAAGACCATCAATATATCCTCTCACAATTCATGTTAACCTATTAGCTTTTTTTCTTATATTTAATTGTATATCTAATAACACAAATATGTATCGTGATTTACCACACTTTTTATTTATGTCACTATTATTTAATTCTACTATCATAAGTATTTAGTCATCATCATAATTAATGTCTAAGATTTATTATTTAAGACCATCAATATATCCTCTCACAATTCATGTTAACCTATTAGCTTTTTTTCTTATATTTAATTGTATATCTAATAACACAAATATGTATCGTGATTTACCACACTTTTTATTTATGTCACTATTATTTAATTCTTTGTAAATAAAATGACACATTTATATGTGTCATATATTAAGTGTGAATATATGCAACTTTTGTTGTAGTATGTGTCAGCGATTTCAGGATCAATTGAAGGTGCCTGCTGAGTGGTGGACTAAAGAAGAAAGTAGCATGGCTTGCTCATAGATGAACAATCACGTGATGGAAGCCGTAGTAGAGTGTCTGAATCGTAATGATCTAGTAGGTTGGTAACTATTGAGATAATAGTATCAGCTATTTCTACAGAGAATAAACTACAAAGTAGTGTTACATTTAATGTTTCTCCTGAAGAGGATAACAGGTATTTAACCAGAAAAATAATACTCATTCTAATCATTAGATTTGGGAGGGAGTCCTGCAATTGAGGATATCCATCTATCTTCAAACATATGAACTCAAGAGCCATTGAATATGGACAATCATGAGTTCCTAAGAATAATTCCAAACAAGAGTGGATGCATGCCTCTTCAAATATGAGGTGATGGATCTAAACCCTACTGAAAAAAGATTTGAGGAGCTGAAATATTTGATGACTCTTATAAGTTTACGAACTTAGAACTCTCTCAAATGAAGACAAAGAACTCACTTATATTTCTTCAATTTTCTTTCTTCATATCAAACAAGGATTACAATAGCCCTTTATATAGACTACAAAACAAAACCGTCTAGGCATACCAATAGTCACAAATTAAACTCCTATCTTAATGCCATAAAGATAAATATCATAAATGAGTAAGTTACTCTTATTCTTCCATAACCTATGTCTCTTCTCCTTCTAAACTTATGATCATTGCACTTCTAAAACTCATGTTATTAAACTCATTTATTCTAATATTTTAATTTGATATTGCAACACGCCCCTTCAAATCAAAATGTCTTTATGCCAAGCATGTCTCTTAGCCTCATGAAAGTTTCACCTGATAATGGCTTGGTGAATATGTCTGCTACTTGTTCAGTGGTGTGACAATGCTTCAGTTCAACGGTTTTTTGCTTTGCATGGTCTCTGAGAAAATAAAACCGTGTATCTATGTGTTTGCTCCTCCCATGATGTATTGGGTTCTTTACAAGCTGGATGGCTAATATGTTGTACACAAAAATTATGGTCGAGTCTTCTTGTGGATGATCCAACTCCTTTAATATGTTTCGCAACCAAATTGCTTCATATACTGTAGATGCAGCCGCCACATGCTCTACTTCACATAAAGATAAAGCTACAACTCCTTGCTTCTTTGATGTCAATGAAAATGCAGTTGACCCAAGATAGAAGACATAGCCTGTGGTGCTTTTCCTCTCATCTTGATCACATCCCCAGTCACTATCTG